TTAGAGACAAATCTGATGTACATATCGTCCAAGTGGATTCTGTCTGCCTTTCTCCGAGATATTCTTCAAAGACCTATCAAGAATATGTTTCAGAGCAATACCTCCCACATTTATAACAGAACGCTCCTTCAGAATGTTTCAATTCGCTCGTATTGTGGGTAATCGGATCTTTTATCGGTCTATTATATTCAACATTTTCCCAAAATTGGTGTAAGGTGTTATATATCTTTTCAGAGTCAGCGAAGCTACGTCTTTCGTTACCAAGTGTCTTGTACATACGGCTTGAATGAACCATCTGCTACCATCTTGCTGAAACCAGCCGAGGTGGCCTCCATATGAAGTGACCACGAGAACCACGTATGGGTTTGCTTTAGCCTCTTCAATAGGGAGCCCTATTTGAGGGCTCAGCTAAGCGGTATTAGCTTATAATCCTAGGCATATACGAGAGAAAGAGATAACGTACAGGATCATCTTCAGAATTCAATGCGAAGATAGGAACGCGCACAGATAGCAACGGATTGACCGACGATGCTTCACGATAATACACTGTTTCTGTGGGATATTTCCACATAGGCTTCTGAATAGCCCTTCATACGGTTAGTATTAAAGTCGATTCCCTTACATGAAGGCACTATCAAACTCTCACCGATCAAACTCATGCAAATATTGAATTTGCGCAATTTCATTCTGATCGATGTCTGAGTTTGTTATAATTTTTTGTTCATGTCTGGCAATATTTGTAAGCCACTTGTGAGTAGGGATCTTATAGTTCTTACTCACGTATTTAGAAACCTCTTTAGTGATGCTGTCAAGCCCCGCGAGTAAATCTCCCGCATGAAAAAAGAGCCTTGGAGGTGGTGTGATAATACTTCCAAGTTCCAGGGATTAGAACATATTGCTGCAGCCCGAATGGTGCACTTTCGCCCTTCTTCGGCAAGATACTAGAGTGATTTAGTTGATTATAAATATGCAATTAAACTCGTCTTCAAACACATATGCAACGAATAACTGAGGTCAAGACAAATCGACTCACATGAACTAGCATGTTGGCGCCCATTGAAAACCCCAGGGCAAATAATGGTCGGTTTGGAAACTTCTGTTGAAGCCATTCGACTACCTGTCTCAGATCCCAGGTAGATCTTGCATTGTACAGAAGCCCATTACCCAGTTGGGAACCAGCACAGCCCCTGGAATTAACAACACAAGCTTCCCATTTTTCGCCACCATGTATAAATGGCATGAGGCTGCGACGCAGATATGCTTCGCCAGATCCTCCATTCATGCCGTGTAGAACAATGAGCATGGGCTTTAAATCCAGCGATCCAATATTCTCGAACTCTTCCTTTGTAAACAATGTGGGTTCGGGGGGAGATTGATCTTCAGAATCTTGAAACGACCTTATTGCAAAGTCAACTGCAAATTCTCCTTCAAAGAGATTATTGCGTTGTTGAAACATCCACCGCTTATAGTATATCGGCAATTTTGGGTTGTCTAATAATATTCGTATTGTTTGTACGTGGCCGTTGAAAAAGATCGGTCGTGTATAAGTTGATGGAATCGCATTTTTGCAGACATCAGCCCAGTTGATGGGTGTTTCGTTATTCGGCGTCAAGTTTAAGGAAGATGGATGATGATGGAAAACGATATCAGACCGACCCGTTAGAAATTGCAACATTTTTTCTTGCTCGCATTCGTTACTGGGCTGAGAATATTCTTGTGATGCTGACCGCAGTAGTTTTATAAGCGGCCAACCACTATTACACATGGCAACCCTCTTAATACTACCAAATTCACTAGTTCGATTAAATAAAGGAGTCCAAAAAAGAGTTTCCATGCACACCATACTTCGCCCAGGAATTACTGATTCCGCGGCTATCTACTGTAGTGCTGACAAGCAAGTACAAGTAATACAAATGAAGTTTCGGCATGTGATCTAATACACCCCGACTTATCACAATTTAGATTTTCCCCTTTTGGCTATTTTCTTCAGATGTTCCTGTGGAATTCCCGCAGTAATTTTCTCCACAGCAGTGTACGCCTCCTGTACAGTTACGTGGCTAAATGTATTTCTATCATCCCGACAAAACTGTTCCTTGATGTCCAATAGGCTGGAGTTATTGATATGAGGCCCAATGTCCCTGTCTAGCTCAAGCAGAACTTTTTCCAAGAAATTCGCTGGTTTAGTCTTGGCTTCACCCGACTCTGGTGACGTTGATTCAATAATCTTGTTTACAAACCCACACGCTAGAAGCTCATTAGATGGAATGCGTTTGCTTAGGAGTAATGCTTCTTTAGCTTTCGAGACACCAAGACGATCTCTTAGCGCACGGGATGCGCCTCCCTCAGCGGCTAACCCAAGCGATGAAAATGGAATAAGCAAGAAAGCTCGAGGTTGGGCATATATAATATCGGCAAACGAAACTAGTGCTGCTAGAAAGCCAACAACAGGCCCATTAAGTGCCGCGACCAAGATTTTTGGATGGGTGTAAAAAGCTCGAGTTAGGTGGATATTGTTCAACAAAGAGCCGGTCAACACATCTTTGCGGCTAGCTTTTGCCATAAATGTACTAAGATCGGACATATCTGCACCCCTATATGAACATACAAAGGTTAGCCATATCATATGTCTAATGGACAAATAAAATACAGAGTACTTTATCACATACGACGAGAAGAAACGTCCTGTTCCGATAAGTAGCGTAATAGTAACCTCTTCATGTGTTGCCACTTCTCGTAAAAGTTCTCCCAATTGGTAGAACTGCTCTTGATTGAGTGAGTTCAATTTCTCAGGCTGGTTGAGAATGATGATGGCAATTCGCCCTTTGTAATCCACGGTGATGGGATGCCCTACCATCTCTATCTTTTACTGATGAAATATGATTTCTGTTTAACGTCGAGTTGAGAGTCTGCGAGGTTTTACTGCGGCAACAAAGAAGGATCTTTCGAGGATTTTCCTCTTTCTGTTTGGGGTGAGATTTTTAACTTGATTCAAGCGCAGGCTTTAAGTAATTTTCTTTTACCGGAAGGGACCAAAGACGCCCGACTAAGCATCCGCTTAGTCTCTTTCAGAAACTGCGAGGTTGATAACGGGTTGCAAAATGTTCTTGATATGACTGTAGGTTTATTTACATCTGCGCAAGAATGTGGCCCTAAATTCCATTCTGTATACTATCTTAACCAAATGCAGTAATGTTTGACTTAGGCTATTACGAGAATACTGGTTTTGCTATATTTAAATAGAGAAGCCAGTTCTATTACTGATCAGAATGAACAACGGAGCCGACGAACAATCTAGCATGTGATACAGTATTACATGGCTACATGATATCAATCACCAACCAAGCGTATAATTGCGGAGTGTTTGCCAATTTAAGCTGTTGAAAGGCCGTAGAAAATTGTCAGCGCTAGCTGCTGACGCGGCCAAGATAAATGTCCCTTTGGATGTGTGTGATGGCGCAAAGCGGGGAGACATCCATCGCTAAATTTTGCCCAGATAGCATGATTAGTCTTGTTGTTGGAGTGCTTTATATCAACTCGTCTTAGTTACCACTGAGACACTATAGATAAAAAGATCATATTGAAATAGAAAATTTGAGCGGAAAGTCTACTTGAAGAGTTATCACAGAAAAGTCCAATTCTTTTGTCTTTTCTCCTCTGATTCACATCCCTATGTTAAGCCGGATATCCGTGGTTTTCATGGAAGCAATGGAGCACTTTTCCCAAATCCCCAATTTAATTCCCTTATTAGAATCGCCAGAATACGAGCCTGTCCCTATTTGGGGGCGCATTCGTAAGTCTAGCGGCGAAGATTTCTTTTTCTCTGAAACAATCGGAACAGAGTCGACGATACCACACTGTTTGATGCTCAAAAAAGCAACCCTTCCACCACTGTCAGAAGCACCTCATGTGAACCCAATCATACAGAATAACAATGGCATGCCCTCATCCGCCCCTTCAAACACGTATATTGCCCCTGATACCGTCATGTTGCTGGAATTATCCAGTCCGGGAGTTTGCTCACACCCTTCAACCGCTCACGGTGACTTTGTATCGACCATTCTTGATGAAGCCATGGCACACACTTTGGTCTCATATTTTCCTACTCTCCCTGCAAAGGTTAATGGAGTACGGAAGACTTTATTCACATCAAGGCTAGAAGTGGTGTTTAAGCGCCTAGTACGGACTCCGGGGGTGCTGATAGTTAAATCTTGGTGTGTCGCCAATAAAGGGCGCAAGTACTGGATGAAGGCGCAAGCAATTCAATTGGCATCCACAAATGATCAATTGTATCATGAAGAGATAAAAGCGGAGGCCATGGGACTATGGATAAAATCGAAGTCTAATCTATAGATATTATTGTTATTCTATATATGTGATATAGGTCACTCAGGCACTCTAGACTGTAGCGTGACCTGAAGTCCTTTAGAATCCTGTTTGGGAAATGGGGCTCCCAAGTCGTGCTTAGAAATAAGATCATCTTCTGTTGTGTCATAGTTTATCACTGTATAATGAGTAAAAATATAGGCAATGGCAATATGAATCTCATATAAAGCCAGACTATGTTTTGGAGATGTTAGTCGCATAGGGTTTCGTTCCCGTACTGACAAACCTGTTGACTTACTGCATTCCGGGGCAGATCCTAGATCCGTGGCCGAACGGACTAAGATATTTCTTCAAATTTTTGCTGTCGGCTTGAAGCCATCGCTCAGGGGAAAATTTGTAAGGCTCTGGAAATAAACGTGAATCTTCATGATGAAGCCGCGATGTCATGCTTATTGGGACCTGCCATTGATGAATTTATCAGTCATCTCCCCATATGACAATTATTCTGTGGAGAAAACTGTGCACATACACCGGCTGGTATTCTCCATTGTCTATATTGTGCATCGCTTGACTTATTGATTCTCGGTAGTCTTGAAAAAACACCGTGTGAGAAACTGCATAAGTAGTTAGCCAGGAAATGACAAATTATAACTTGCATATTTGGCATGAGTATAATCCTACCGCAACCCTTCAGTAATGACTGCGGACTACATTGAAGAAATTTGTTAGATAGTCTTTTAGATATGGTCTGAATGATGGCAGGTGAAGTAGTTACCAAATAGGGAAGAGCTTGAAGCTTTGCGATTTCGATATTGTCATCAAATACGATGTCTGCGTTTATGAGCTCTTGTCGTAGCTTTACTTGAACATTCAAATCTTGAAGAATGTAGAAAGTTGTCACCGCTAACGTATGACCAGTTGTTTCGCTACCAGCCACAATAAATTGCTCTGCTTCTTGAAGTAGCCTATCACGAAACATCTCATCTTGCTCGTGCTTGTTGTTGTTTATTCGTTCAAGAAGACATATCCGCGATTTGTCCATATCTGGTCCCTTTTGGATAACGTCATCGACGCAGCTTTCTAATTTCTACAAGTGCATAGTTAGCCTATTGACTTCTGTCAAGGGCAAAGAACAGTGCCAGTAACTTACCCTTACGAGCTTTATTAAAGCTTTTGCTGGCTCAGTAAGCATCGCGTTGAATATTATGGAGGGGATGATCGTAATGATAGGTTCCATGAATCCAAGATATCGCATGGTGGTGGCTGTTTCAAAAAAGAATCTTAAACTGGATTGAAACTCCTCCCCTAAATCATCTGATTCAAGAAGATTCAGAGATGTTGGTAGGACATATGCCGATACAACATCCGCTGCCATGCACCGATAGATATTTGACAGGTTCAATATGTTTCCTGTTCGCACGTGTCGATCCATAATGGCGCTCGCTCTTTTTAACTTCTCAACAATGGTAGGCACAAAGCCTCTGACCATACGTGGAGCCAAGAAGTTCTGAAAGGTGCCGCGCCGCGTTTTGTGGATGTGGTGATCCTCTGTACTGATGGTAGACCAAGGTCCGCCAAATACCCTGTACCACCAGCCATATTTATCGAGCTTTTTGACAGGAGAAAACTCCTCTATGCAGAAGTCCGGGTCTTTGATATGCACCTCGTACGGATTAACACGCACAATTGGACCTGGAGTGATTGTGTATCAGTGAAAAGAAGGAGTAGGGCTCACATAAGGTATCTACTCACCGTAGATCCGGTGCATATTTTCTATTTCTCTTGTATACTGTCCTGAACATATAACTTCATAATAAAATTCGTATAGTAGACTGATTGCTGCCGATTTAGGGCCAGGAATATGAGACAATGGCGACAGCCAAAGATGATAGCAAGCCTGCCCAAGCTGCCAAAGACTCAAGCCGCAAAGTGAAAGAATAAGAAGAAACATAGTGATGATTGGTATCTAGAAACACTCGAAAAGTCTCAATGTGTCACATTCCGTTCTGTCTTCCGGTCTCAATGCTATTTATTGTCTCGAGCAACACTTCTCACATGTTACTATTTACTTTTCAGCATCCCTTCATCTCTTTTCTTTCATGTGATATTACGATATCAGCATGTGATAGTGACAATATCCCTGACATGTAGTAAGTAGCACTTTGTAGACTCTGTTGGAGAAATATTGTTACAGAAAAAGAATAAATCTACTCAGCACTAAGATCCAATAGTGCGCCATGTTTGATTAGTAGTTTTCAGATATCTGGATATCTATATATTAAAAATAAGTGTCTTGGTTATTGGCTGCTTGTAAATGGTAATATCCTTTCGTAGACCCAGTCATTACATGTCTGTTGATACAAACACCTCACATGTGATACATGTCAGCATTTCTCCGCGGCATATCAAGCTTACGAAGTAGTATATCTGCTTGGAGATTAATAATCTTGGAGATCAAATGCCCTTGGGAGATGTCGCATCTTACGAAAAAGTCTCACTACCACGAAACTAAACTGGGTTAATTAAGTATAATTGTGCAATGGATACTCGTATTGTTTATCTCGTATACCGCTTACGCCCAGAGTCATTGATTCGCAACCACAGCCAACCATGTTGAGAACACTTTCGTACCCTTGCTTAACAAACCATTTATTTTAATGCTGTTTGTCCAACAAGATTGCTAATCGGTATTGCCAAATATTTGATATTATCACTTTACCATTTCCAGAAGTGAGGGATTTTCATATTCTAATCTTGGTTACGCACTCATTATCCCAATGACTTACTTGTTGATAATGGTGGGGTGGTATGATACATGAATGGTAGAGGTTCTTCCATCTGATTGATTGTTGGCATGCAGCTTACTGATATTACGTGCATGGAAATACATCACATATTACCACAACGTCTTTGCATCAACGGAATGTTAAAAATTAATATAATTTATCGTAACATTAGGCTGAATTTTGTCTATGTACTCTTTGTTTAGTAATAAGCTGACGTTAGATAAAGAGAATGAGGTAGTTAAGTTGGTTGCAAACCTCCGCCCTCTCCGAATAGCAGATGTATGCGATAACTGACGGATGAAAAAACCAACTGTTTACTGGGCTGGGCGATTGATTAGACTGGGCGATTGACGAGACTCGGCGATTGCGCCGGAGCCAGCGATTAGATTGACCCGTTGATTGGACGGTCTTCAGATTTAGTGAGCGGGATATTGCATTATTGTCAATGGTGCGTGACGATGTGGGAACAGTTGGATAAGGCTTAATGAACTTACCCATAATGTGTAGACAGTTGTTTGCTTTAGAAATTACACACTATTTGCTTAAAGAAAGCGAAGTGTTTATAATTAGTACACCTGTACTCCGTATATTTCCATCATTTCTTTGGTTTGTCCAGTGAATCTCCTGGATTTTATGTGGTGCATTACAGTAGCCTAGTCTTCGGAGGGAGTTTTTCACTTTTACATCTTGGTTAGACGATTCGCCAACAATTACACAGGAGTTAGGCCTTTCTATCTTCTTTTCGTATTTGTTTAGCTTGGTACTTGTGTAAAAGGGGTGATACATTGTCAGCTGTTCACTTCAGTGGGAGCAGTATCGTGGCGCAGTAGAAAACAAGAGGGTTCGAGGCTCAATAAAAATAACATGTTCATGAAAAATGATTCAAGCATGCACATGATGATAGAAGGGAGTATTCGGTGATTGAGCACCCCTGGAGTTAAGACTGGCGGTTAATGTAGTATTGCCCATACTCTAAATCAGTTTGTGGACGTATAGTCATTGACTCGATACCGACAAAGTAGCAGCAGCTTTGTATAGTGTTGAGTTGGCAACTCTACTGGGAACTGACTTGAAAGGAGGGAGTGAGGTCCACAACCAGGGTATGTAAAGGGCTGAGAAATCGGGTTGGGGGCTTGGTGGGTTATTGCGGCCGCTCCCGACAGCTTTCCCGCATCGTGTCTAGCCAAAAGGTGGGGTGAAATACACCGGCGTTTCCTTTTCAAGAGTGCGCCGATGTTGATGCTTTTAGCATGGAGATGAGACCGGTGTCTCTTTTTACGGCACGTTGACTACTTTCACAACCTATAATTACAGCAGTTTTAACAAATACAAATAGATAGCGCTTGTCTCAGTTATCTCAACATTTCGAAAGTAGCTACAACTTCTCTCAGTATCACAGACTATTCTCACCGAGAAGAAAGTTGTCCTAAGATCACATAGAAATACTTTCACTTGTTACACACGGTCTATGGTAGATAAATATCGGCGGTCAATGATTAGGAACCTTCTATTAACCCAATGGTCTACATTCTCTATACCATGGGCATCGGAATAGGTTCCATTTAGTCCTCATAAGTTTAATGCGAAAAAGTCTCTATGATGCGTCGCTAACTAATAGGCTTTATTTCGGTTTAATAATACATTTATATTTATCTTTAACTCTATGGTTGCCTAGTAGTATTAATTAGTCTTAGTATTCAACGCAGAAACACTATCAATATGTACTGTGAAGAAGCCGCTTCGCAAGTGTTTAGGTCAATCACCATGTTAAATTGCTGTTAAGTAACACTGGCGCAGAAGAGAATACCACAATCATATATCGGATTGGACTTGTTCAGGAGCACACCGTAACGATATTTCCTGGAAGCCTCAATGACAAGACGAAATGCATAACTGGAGGTGGTTCATCGTCAACACCAACGAAATGTATACAATGACATTATGATCTAACAATAATAGAGATCCCAAACTAATATTCATATACCGAATACTATGCATGATAAAAACGCCTCTGTCGGATGTTAGCAATGATTTAAATGGATCTACCTAAAGCGTAGCTCAATATTCTCTACTACGTCCAGTTGAACTTCCTCTTCTATGAGTAAAAGCACAAACAATTCCGTGTACGACGACGTCTATGGTTGTTTTAGTTAATTCTTTGTTAAATAAAGGCTACGAGAATACTACATAGATCTTGGCTGGCTGAGAGCATCTCACGTAAAGGCTCAGTACATACCAAGTGTGCAGATCAGCACGTCCGGATAACCGCAATACCTTTTTTTTTTTTTTTTTGGAAAAACGTTGTCCCCCTTTTACTGGATCGTCACGTGCTTCATTCAAATATCTACGGTGTTTCTACCCGTATATGGTGACTGTCGATGTAATCGATTCTCAGCAAACGGACGCAGCTCAGCGTCCAAAATCGTGGTATTTTATAATGAAACTAAACCTTTTCATTGCTAGAACATTAATTACCTATCATCTGATCGTTAGCTTGTAATTCGGAACAATAGCTAGTTTACGATTCGAGTAGCGTGTCATCGCCAAATTGGTCATTTATATACCAAATTTGGAAACAGTCATAGATTAAACAAAAATCTACTAAACGTAAAACAACTACCTCGCTTTTGTGGGAGAATTACTTGAAAATGGTGCCCACTCAGTATGCCTATACATCTATTTCAGCCAAAACACACAGCTTCACGTATGTATGGCATCCTCAATAAACTTTTCTTTCGCCTTAGTCAGGAGTGGAAACCTAAGTGTTGGCGCGATTGGTATAGTAGGAGTCTTATGCTAAATCTGTGGCTGCTTAGAGCTTTTAAATATCCTTTACAAAGAGATAATCCTAGTTCTTACCTTCTGCCAATAATTTACTTTCACTTAGTGCTGACTCAGGTAGATGCCATGATATCCTGTCACGGCAAGTATTAAAGCGCTGTGCTGCTCTCTGATGAAAGCAGTGTTGGAATAAGAATCCCCATCTTCACGCGTGAATTTGTCTATCTAATACCTTTGAGTTTGATTATGGCGCACCAAGACAAAATTGAACTTCTCATTGATGAAGCACTCAATCGACAAGCAGAGAGTGGCCAATACTCATCATGGGACTGTCTTGCGGTATGTCAACCCGACACTTGCCAACCAGTCTCAAACTGAGTAAATAAAAGCTTGTAGGGCTCACGTCCGTCAATAAAGGCCATTATGGGGCTTACCTGTATAAATCAGCTTTGGAGAAAACGCCTGCTGAGTCCCGTCCACTACTATGGCGCCGTTACGTCGATGCGCTCACGGAGATGCTAATCATTGTCGGGATGCCCAAAACTCTGAATGCGCTGTATCCAATGATTCCACTAGTCAACAAGGCCGATTTAACGCATGTTAAAAAGTCGGACTGGGAAGCCGACAACTCAGCCAGAGGCTGGGAGTATGCAAAATTAACGCATGGTGATCATTGGGCCGATTCATTCAAGGCGGCTGGTATGTATGCGCCGGATATTGGTAAGCACGCCCTGATATCGATTTCACGCACACGAGACTGATGGGTTCAGCACATATCACAATGGATGTCTCAATGCGCAATCTCTTGTCGGATTATTCGGTACACGACGGACTGGCGACCATGGCGTTGCTGGTAACGGTGTTGGTAGCGATGAACTGCCCACTGCAAGCCTCTTGGCACGTAAAAGGATACATACGGCACGGCGGGAATAGGAATAATTTGTATGAGATTGTCGAATTTGCAAAGAAGATTGCGAATACCACTGGAAATACTATCCCCGCCGACTTTCCAACTGTAGAAACGATGCTGGAGGGATTGTAATAACGCTCGGGAATGACCGTAACAGGGAGAATACGGTCTTTGTGTATGGTCTTTTGGGTCTGGTCTTTTGGGTATGGTCTTTTGGGTCTGGTCTTTTGGGTCTGGTCTTTTGGGTCTGGTCTTTTGGGTCTGGACTTTTGGGTCTGGTCTTTTGCATTACGTTGCTTCTACTGTTCGTAACTTTCTTCATGGAGTTGCCTTGGTTGCCTTTGAATGGCAGCGAACCATCCAGAATCGCCTTATTAATGCGTCAGATGGTTGGTAGAACACACAGAAATGACATCATCAGCAAACCATATAGTCTTTCACCTTTTACTAGGTATTGTTTTGTCCGCGGGTTTCATTGTTGTAGCGTGTTTGTCAGGCGTCAACATAATCTTTCTACACTAGCCCTAAAATCCGACACGGAGCCCTCGTAGCGAGGTCAAACGCCGATAGCTCTTCAATGACCGACGGGTTTGTATTTCGGAGCGTGTCGCAAAGATCCACAACTGGTTGCAGCTTGAAGAAGTTTCGATCCTTTGTTCTAGCCTTGATGCTCTGTAATGATCGCGAGCATGCAAGTATGTCCGTCTTAAAATCCGGGAGGTGAGCAGAGTTGGACAATGAGAGCTCGGGGTGATAGCATCGGTGCGACGATGGATTTACAACTTCTGCCTATGTCGTGATAGCTAAGAGTTCAAGGCAGGAGCGATATATAAAAGAATGGTAGAGCTCACCGTTTAAAATAAAAAGACATCAATACAATTGAGTTCACAGTTTAAGAATCACTATACAATAACACACACAAAGCAAATAAATTACTCAAATACCATCCATTCAAAATGTCCAAGGCACCTGTCCTCATCACTGGAGCATCCAGTTTCATTGGTGCTCATATCATTGATCAATTTCTATCCGAGGGTACTCCAGTCCGTGGTGTCGTTCGCTCTCAGTCTTCGGCGGATCGAATTCTCGAAGTGAATTCTCAGCACTCTTCGCTCCTCAGTTTCGTTATTGTCCCGGATATTACCAAGCCAGGTGCCTTTGATGAGGCTGTAAAGGGTGTTGATGGCGTCATTCACATTGCTTCACCATTCACACCAAAGATTGAAGACAACGAGAAAGACCTGCTTATTCCGGCTATCCAAGGCACTATTCGAGTGCTAGAATCGACGTATAAACATGCTCCTCAGGTGAAACGTGTCGTCATCACTGCATCTTTTGCCTCCATCGTAGATGTATCGAAAGGCGTTCGGGACGGTTACGTCTACGATGAGAAAGACTTCAATCCTGCCACCTATGACGAGGCCAAGTCTCAGGATACCGACTTTGGCTTTGCTTATTGCGCCTCTAAAGTGTTGGCTGAGAAAGCCGCTTGGAACTTTGTGGAAGAAAAGAAGCCTCAGTTTACCGTCACGGTCATCAACCCTCCCGTTGTATATGGCCCTAACCGTCATTACATCGACGATCTCGACAACATCAATACTTCATCTGGCATGTTCTACTCTCTTATGAACGGCTCCCGGCTGGAGGTGCCTCCGACATCTTTCTGGGCCATAGTCGACGTTCGCGATGTTGCCCTCGCCCACAAAGTGGCATACTACAAGCCCGAAACAGCGGGGCAGCGATATCTGACCACGCTGGGTCGCTTTAGCTTCCAACAGATCTGTGACATCCTGCGGGAGGAGTTTCCCAACCTCCGTGGCCGCGTCCCAGTCGGCAGCCCCGGGGAGCCGATCACCGGTGTCTACGATGTGGATAATACCAAGGCCAAGAAGGAACTCGGCATAGAGTTCATTTCCCTGCGCCAACTGGTAATTGACACAGCCAACAATTTTCTGGACATCGAAAAGCGCCTTGGCGTCCAGATCGCGAACTGAGTCGCTATTAGTTAGTGCAGGGGGGCGGGGCGGGTAGAAGCGTTCATTGACAGCTTAGAGCTCCATAGACCTTTTCCTAGAAGAGTATGTAGTTCGTCTAATTGATTTGATTGGCCTTTACATTCCGCAATGACCACCAAAGTCGCGATTCATCTCCCTCTCTGGCTCCGATGTTCCAATAGTTGAGTATGATTTCCAAAATGAATGTCTTAGTAGAGAGGCCTCATCTCTGTCTCGTAAGGCGTACCCGTCAAGAAGGGGGTAAAGAGGGCTAGCAACACATGCCTTAACGAGGAGATATAACAAGGTCAACAGTTGTCGCATCGAGACACACGTATCACACTCGCAACGTACACTTTATACCTTGCACGATGGCTCTCTCTTACCGTGATGGCATCGCCGTGGCGGAGCTAATTTGTTACTGCCCTTCTGCAATCATTGGGATCTATCTTACTCTAGTCAATGAGTTTCATACTACCGGCTGGATCGACATATTTTTATTCTCGGCTATTCGTATCGTTGGCTCTGCTATTCAACTCGAAGCGAAAAATCACCCTGATACAACCAAGTTCTATACCATCGCGTCCATAATGAACTCCATAGGCCTTGCTCCCCTCGAAGCAGGCTCACTGGGACTTCTCAATCGTCTTAGCGAAAACATTGGCGGCAAAAACAGAAGCCAGGCAGAAAAGTCCGTGTTTCGCCTTGTACAAACGGTCATCATCGCTGGTCTCGTTCTGGGCGTTGTTGGGGGTATCAAAGCCGGAGACTCGATCAACGAGACCGGGACATTTGCCATTGGAAGTATTGGCAAGATTGGTACTGGATTACTGATCGGCGGATACGCCGCAACTCTGATTGTTGCTGCGAATTTGTACAGAACTCTCTCGCTTGCAAACCGCAAATATCGGACCCTTCTTTGGGCAGTGGTTGCTGCAGCGTTTCCTCTTGCAGTCCGTCTCGTTTACGCAATTCTGGCGACCTTGACAGATGACAAGAACTTTAATTTCATCACGGGCAATGTCACAGCCTGGCTGTGTCTTGCCGTCATACCTGAGGTTCTTGTCATTCTCATCTACATTGTGGCAGGGTTTTCTTTGGGTCGGAACGGGAATACCGTAAAAGAAGACGATGATGTGATCATTCGTCTTGGGGAGCACCACACGAATGTGCCGGGACAAGTGCCAGGGCAGTCAAGCACACCGAACCGCAAACAAAACCCTGTGGTCAGCACTGCGATCAAGATCTTCAATATGACGATTATTGGTCACATAGTCCAAGGCATCCGAGGGCGGAGTAGAAACTAACCCAAGGGCGCTGAGCGCAGAAAATCTGATGTCGATTAATAATAGAAACGGGGCAATATAGTTAGCATACTACCTAGGCTATCATTTCTTTTGTATATATGTATTTACTTGTAACTCGCTGGCATTTTGTGCGAGTGCTCTTCAACACAGAGAAACCTTATGTCCGGTATTTCCCTTTAGTGATCTTAGGTTGTAAGAATCCCAGTCTTCACTGCGCCTAGTAGTGTGAGCTAATGAAGTAAATTGCATGCCGTCTCCGCAGGGTCCAAGCCACGCTAACGCGTCATAAGAGCCTGCTCAACTCCTGTCATCCATCGATCAGATTGAGAATTTGAACATTCCTTAGTCGTTGTCAAAGAGCATCCAAGGTTGTACTATAAAACATCATCTTGCCATATGGTTTATCGAGGCAAACCGTCACCAGCCTGCGCGCTATGTAGGAAGAGGAAGATTAAAGTTCGTTTACCAACTCGCCGTTTGTGCACCTGGAGCTAAACCAAGTCTTCCTCAGTGCGATCTCCAGAGACCAAGATGTTCCCAATGCAGACGAGCGAAAGAGACGTGTACGGGGTATCGCGATCTCATTGATGTGATATTCCACGATGAGACAAATTTGACAAAATCTAAAGCTCTTACCAGAATCTGCCGCAATCAAATTGAAGCCCATGCAGACAATCGGATTGCAAACAACACTGCTATTTCTTTGCGTTTTATCCCATACAATATTGACGAACAAGCCAAATCTTACTTTGTTCATAGCTATGTCCTCATCCAAGAAGGCACCGCCGGCTATCTATCCGGCGTTGCTCGACTGCTAGTTCGACCAGGCCTCAGCAGCGCCTTGGAGGCGGCCATGGTCGCAGTTGGTTCAGCGGGGATGGCGTGTAAAGAATCATCGCCACTTTTGGAGCTAAAGGCGAGACAAAGTTACGGTATTGCTATCAATTACATCAATGAAGCAATTCACAACACGACCAAGATAAAAGAGGCTGGGACACTCGCCGCCATTCTAGTACTTGGACTTTATGAAGTAAGTGACATTCTAGCATCTCTCGTACACGAATATTTGTTCGACTTTATGTTTCTTGTATGTGCTGATATATCTAGATGATCATGTGCGATAGCCAGCAGTCATCAAACGCCTGGTATAATCACATGCTGGGTGCACTGGCAGTGGCTCATATCCGTGGTACCCAGCAATTTAAGGACAGCGAAGTCGGGATGGAGCTATTCCTACATCTCCGATCCCAAATCGTTAGTCATACAATGGCTCGGTGTCGGTAATATGCTAATAAGCGCGTTTAGATAATATCCTGCATCCAAAGAAGCGAAGAGATTCCAGACTCTATCAAGAGACTGACCGATGAAGCCCACAAATACGGACCATTCAGATCGCTGGGGCCCCATCAACTGGGTGGTGTAATCATGAAACTGTGTTCCTTACGAGCTTGGATCAGATTAAACCCAGATGTGATGTGGCAGGCAGCATTTGCTGAATGCATCAATGTTGGGAAGGACATTCGAAACCTGCATCACTCGATTTCATGTTCCCAAGGCCCATACACAACTAGGTTCATTGAAGAGGCGACAGACGAAGTCTACCTAAACAGATACCACACTTACCGATGTGTGCGGAGCGCCTGGGTCTGGAATTTGTACCATGTGGCCAAAATTATTCTACACGAGACCATTGTTGATTTGCTTCAGCCGCAAATCGCCAATATCGCCACAATGCCAGGAGCACTGGCATCTCAGGCTATGGCTCAATACGACGAGTCTCTTTGTGATCTCCATGAAGCAAGCTCAGATATACTCGCTTCGGTTCCGTTTTATCTAAATTTCCATCAAAAAGATGAAAATTCAGCGAAACCGGTAAACGCCTTAATTCTCATGTGGAATCTGTACGCTGCAGCCCGTCTTAGGATATGTGCAGGGCCGGCAAGAGAGTGGGCTATTCAGCGATTGCGGTTCATGGGCCATTTCATGGGCGTTAGGCAAGCTACAGCACTGGCAAGTGTATTGAAGAAGCGTGATGCATGGCAAGCTATAGAGAATAACCAGATTCTTGAATATGAGAATCGCAAAGCCAGGAGAATCGGCGGTACGGACACACGTTTGCTGAGGTACCTGACCGACTTACCTCCCGAGCCGTTCAAGAAAGGGCCCGAAATTTTGCTATAATACGCAGGATTTGCAGCTGGTTTATATCTACATGATAAATAACGCGAATATACTAGATTTGTTCCACTTGTTCATGTGGCAACTGTATTACTTGAAATTTATGGAATAGTTAGGTATGATACGTTCCCTCCTCTTTAACTGGTCTGGGCTATATTTCTGCTCACTTATTAGGCGACTTGGGTAATTTACCGCTAGGCACTCGCTAACACTACCTGTTGCGCATTAAGTTAGTGCCATATTAAACCCGAGATTTAGCCATCATTTAGCCAGACCCAAGGTGCAAGCTAATTGGCCAAGCTCAAAGTCACGTGCTGGAATTATGTAAGATGACTCCCTTGCTTTGAAGTCGTGATGTTGCGGTATTTTTCCCTGTTGCACTGCTTCACGATCGAGGCATGCTCTTCATGTTCTCTCCCAGCGACAAGCATTTACATCAGGAGAGCGCAGCACATCACGCTCATTTTGCATGCTTTGATTCTAGATGCTGTGTGCTCTGCCATGATAACCTCCACGGCATCGCTTTCTCGAGATGTGAATGACGACGACGACGATGCTGAGTCGACACAGCCTTTTTCCTCGCCCGGGTCAGTGGAATAGTTCTCGTGCGATTCCATCGAGCTGTATGCTTGTGTGGATAGCCGTGCCGCTCTGCTCGATGACAACGTCCAGCAGAAAGTTGCCTGCGAAGCAAGACCGGGAAATTCCTATGCATACTTGACACGCTTGTTGCTTCAGACAAGCCTGTTAAAATGGTAGGGGTCTTGTTGGCCGCGGATTGCGAGTAGCAGTTCATTGCGATACGCGATGGACTTGCGTTAGCCGGTTGCAAGCCATTCCGTGGCATGCGACGGCTTGCTCCTCTCTCGCCTCCTTATGCCAGTACTTTCTCTGTGATGATGCCATCATGCGATGAGCGGCGGGACTTTGTTTAGCACCCTCCATTCCATGTGCCTTCGCCAGCAACACCACTAATCAATAGCCAAGTGCATTCCCTTGACTGTTTGATGTACTGACGCGTTCATCCTCTAGACGTCCATTTGCAACGGAACAATTCGATGACAAGGACGAGCTGACCAATGATGACAACGGCAACGGCATTAGCAAAAGTGATGATGGCGAAGAATCAGCCGAGCCAGTTTCCGGTAGCCAAATTAGAGAGGCTTTCGAGGTTGACATGACATGTCGAAACAATTTGTTGACCTGGCAAAATGCCGATGGCCAGATGCAACGTGTTGAAGGTCTAAACCTCGATTTATACTTGGATACGTCGACCAATACAGCTATTTTCAAAATATATGGCTATGTCTTGTTGAAAGGCAGTAAAAGCAAAAGCAGTAAACAAGCCGTTTATCTATTCATACATCCCGAAAGCATTCGATTCATTGCTCTACAAACTGAACATACCGCCCCATTCTCAACGCCGATACATTCTAGGTCCATACACCACTCGCTCTGCTTCTCCCTTACAACACAACCCCATCTTGTCGTTCCCAAAAATCTTATTCTGGAATCCCGACCGAAGACCAGAGCCCTACTAGATTCCATACAAGCCCTCGCCACAGTGACGGCTTTCACTGTACATCTCAGTAATCTCGACACAGTCGCATCGACGCGGGAAAATTTGGAATTGATTGCCTCGACTTTTTCGTTGTCGCATGATGACAACCGCCCGTCTACCAATACCAGGCGTGCCAATCTCACAACGTTGTATGCTGGTAGAGGAGGCGAAGTTGTCAATGCAAAAAACGATGTTACCAATGCCGAAACATGTTTACCTCCGTATAGTGAGCCCGCGCCCAGTCGTAGCCACCATTCCAGTGAGCAAGCCGTACCCTATTACCCCAAGTTCCAAGCTCACCCAGCTTCACTATAGATAAGCGCAAGCGCGATCTTTTTGACCATGACACCGAGCAACCATCCACAACCCAGGACCAAATCCTACTCATTCTCAAAAACATTTGTACTCGCCTCGATAGTATAGAAGGCCGCATGGAAAAGCTTGAAGATAAAGTCTCAGAGGCATTGGATTCTACACACAGCCGTGGAGAGGAAGAGAGGCTGGAATTATTAGAAGAGGTTGAGAACCGAATCGACGACTGTATAACGGATGTGAGGATTGAAACTCAAGACATAATTGAAGACCTTAAGGATGAGGTCGATGGAACATTAGAACGACTGGATAGTGAGGCGAACGAGAGGATAGACCGTTTGGAAAACGATGTTGAAGAGAATACAACAAAGCTCGTAGAGAAATGCTTGAAAAAGAAATTACGAAATGCCAGCTTGCGAATCGATGGCTCGGTATTTTTAGACCTCTAGGTAGTCAATTCAAGCCTCTTTACTACGCAAATAACTTGCTTGGCCTGCCCGAGTCTCTCTCATGTGCAATAGACTGCTTTCTCTATGATTACTACCGCCATGAAGCTGTACCAGGCATATTGTGAACAACATAGCAATTTGACATTAAGACCAGTTCTAGTTATATAGCCTACAACAGTTGCTTCAATCTCACGTAGCATTGTTTTGGCACAACAGTTGCCGTGTCAATGCCTTCATACGAACTGAGTTCCGCAGGGCAAGGCTGGAATTCGAAATTCCATACCAGCATGGCCAACACGATTCGCAGTTCCATGTAGGCTAATTTCTTTCCAAAACAACCTCGAGGTCCACCACCAAATGTTAGAAAAGGCCCAGCGTTGACGTTATATTCGATGCCTTCGAATTCTGCGTCATCCCCGCCGCCGGCTTCCGCTCCTATTGTTCGCTGTAGCCACCGTTCCGGACGGAAGCGACTAATATCGTCGGCATTCCATTCGCCCACACGGTCCTTTGAGCTTTGTGACGTATCCGACCTGACAGTCTCAGGAATGTTAAATCCAGATTGTAATTGTCCTCCGGGCCCGTGGTTATAAATCATAATTCCGGTGCCTTTGGGAACTGGATGGCCTAATATTGTGACGTCGGTCAGAGCTTCACGTAAAATGGTGGGGATAGTTTTGGTCATCCGCAAACATTCCTCTAGGAAGGCGTCGAAGAAAGGTGCTGGTTTTTCAATAATCTCCATCACAGTTGGCTGACGTTTTTCGGCATGAGCTTCTGCAAAGGCGCTGCGTAATTGACGACGGAGCTTGGCTTGGGAACTCTCATTATCGGCCAAGAATTTCGTGATCCACGAGAGCGTTGTGGACGAGGTGTCATGTCCAGTAGCAACATAACCGAATAACTGCATCATGTTCAGTCAGCGTTACCAGTTCCAAAATTCACATCAATTAAACAGGATAAAGCATTCAATATCACCTCATCTCTCATCCTAGGCGCGTTGATGTTTGGCTTTCTCCCTTCCTTCTTCGCGTAGCCAAATTCCCTGAGGAGCATCATGTCCATCGCACATCGCATGCGATTCTCTTGCATGTTCTCCGACGTCAGCCTCTCAACACCTTTGTTGATTTCATCTGTAATAAATGCCTCTTTCTGAGCAAAATCTCTGCGCCAGATTGTGTTCCTCAAAATCCAATGATGGAGGCGCGGGAATGGAGATTTATATCCCACTACCACGGACCCCGTCACCTTAATCAGAGCCATGCGGGATTCGGGTATAGGAATACGGCTGTAGGTGACAGGATCATCTTTGGAGTTTGCTGATCTGATTTTCGGCGGCTGAAGCTGTAAGAATTCATATTGCTTCTGAGTTGTTGATTGCTCAAGACGAATACCGAAAGCAGCCGCAAGTATAATGTCGAGAGCAACATAATGAATGTCCTCGTATGCAGAAAATGGGCGTCCAGCAGCTTCAGCAGCTTTATGTGCCCACATATCAACCAGCACGGTGGCGATATCGTAAATGTGTACAGCAGAAACCTGCGATTGAAACTTAGCATGCACTGTTTACCGATGGAAGGAGTGGCAATCTTACCTCATTGAGGAATGCTGGTGTCATCAAATCCCTTATAAGCTCTTTATTTCCCTTAAATCGTGGATCCCGTGTCTGCATGGCAAGATGAAAGTTCGATCCAATAGTTTCGAAAATGTCTGCATTTCTCTTGCTCCTATCAAATTCCCGGTGTCTCTTTGACAAAATGTCATATCCTTCGCGAAAATCTGTGATAAGCACAAACGGCTTGGGGTATGGGAACATGAAGACTTGGGAAATAGAGGTATTCAGCTTCGCATTATGATCGCGGAAAAAATGCCTGAAATCCCCTGTCTTCTGGTACCTTCGGATGTCTGGTGTATCGCCCAGAAGTCGACTTGCCGACAATTTATTGTAAGGGATGTTGCCCGGAATGGGCTTTGGGAAATGCCGAATATAGAGCCAGTAGAGAAGGGCGAATATGCCAACAAGAGCAATGGGTAGAGGCGTTGAAATCCCCCATGAGGCAAGAAGCTCACTTCTGTTTGCTTCGGCCATCGCTTAATTTTCGAGCTGAATGATTGCTTAAATGATATGTAGATAATGATCATAAACTGTATCCTCTATGTGAAATAATACCGTAAGAGTGATCATAGAGGCAAGTTCATAGCTGCGGCTGTACGACCTCTTATATCATTTACAATCACATCACCCGAACAAACCGATTCCGAAAGCATGTCTCTGTGGCTGAATTATTAGGATGCCAAGTGATTATGTTCTCCATAAATCAGGTTATTAAGAAGCACCTCATTCGCTCGTATACAGTGACATATTGATGGCTGAACTTCGCAAGACTCCTTTTCTATAAGGGCTTACTCAGACCAAGAAGGATCCAAATCTTATTTAGTTAACATTGCGTGGCCTCTCTACGAAAGATGAGGAGGATTTTGCATAATATCGTTATCAGTGCAATAAACGTTCTAATGTTTTATTATGAGAGTTTATAGAATAAACGATTCTTATATGTATACCGCATTGCGGTGTTGTCACTTGCGTAATTGAGAGAGCATGAACACTGCCAAACTATGGCAACCTTTTTCAGTATGATTTCTGCACTAGACAAACCAGAGACCACAAAATGAACATGTGTGTACATGGCCACCATTCTAGATGGGTTTAGTGTAATGGGGATGAGCAGATTGTGTAGTTCTATATGTTGAAATTCCTCCTCATATCTCGGTTCTCTTTTTGTTTTCTTCTTCTTTTTGCAAACATCCAGGGTAACAAATTGTAAGCGTGCGACTAGCATGAAACAAAGGAAAATCGCCAACACAAAGAAGGGATTTTCAGTCTATTTATCTTCATTCTGAAATTCTCTTTCTATTTTGGGTTTATCAAGTTTTTTGACAAATGCGATGCTTATGAGAAGAAACTAATACAGAAGCAATCGCCAATATGCGAGGGAATACGCACCCGAAATACTCTAATGCAAGTGGCATGTCACCAATAGACGAATCGTATCGTCGAGCCATCCCAATTGACACAAGCTTTACAGGGGTTGAATATCGCAATGCCTACCGGGTTATTACTGACGCGTTCTGCTGCGGGGACCGGCCCCTGTTTCCGCCTTCAATCAGCGTCTTTCCGCCGCGTAAACACGTACGTAGATTAGGGCACCGGCCATCCGTCAATACTCCTGAAAAGATCCCGTTAAAATATCAGAAAGGTGCTACTTGATACCATCTCGCTCATCTCTCATGCGATTTGTTTGTTGTTGCCTCGAAGATGCTTGCAGACTCGACAAGCGAAAAGCAACCCCTCATTGAGAGGGATGTATTGCCAATCGACTCAACCCCTCCGCAGCATTTTACAAAGAATCACAACATGCCGCAGAAATGGCTCCTGCTGGCCATCATATCTTCGATTTTGTTCTTTTGGAGTCAATTAGCTCCACGTGAGCCCAGTACGGCTCGCATTGGTGAGGCTCCTCACCAAGTCCGGACGTACCCTGGGGAGCTCATCGAATGGACTTTGTGTGGAAATTTAGAGGGCAGCGATCTGGAATGCAGCTCAATCACTGTACCAATGGATCAATTTAGCAAGGAAAATCCGAGCAACCGTACTTTTAGTATTCCGCTTGCACGATTACGCGGCTCCCAAAGAGCAACCAAAAACATCATTGTTAATCCGGGTGGCCCAGGAGGTAGCGGCATAAATTGGCTCTATCGGAAGGGCAAGGCGACTCAGAAAATTGCCGGTGACAACTTCCACATTTTGTCATTTGACCCGCGGGGCGTCAATAACTCCCGGCCACAAGCTACTTGCTTCCCGGATGATGAAACTCGCAAAGCACGATCCATCTCACTCTCCTATGACCCCCTCGTGGATGGCCCAAAACTGCACCCTTGGACTAGCAACTATGTTCAGGCGTGCTCCGATACAATGGGCGAGTATGGCCCATACATGAATACTCCGCAGACAGCCGCAGACATGAATAGCATCCTCGATGCAGTTGGCCAAGAGAATATGATCTACTGGGGTTTTAGTTATGGCAGCCTACTCGGACAAACTTACGCGACCCTGTTTCCAGAAAGATCAGAGCGAGTCATTATTGACGGTGTTGTGAACCAATTCTATTGGTATACTGATCCCTTGGAAGGGGATTATGAGGACACCGAAAAGGTCTTTGATGGATTTTTCAACGAATGCGTAAAGGCTTCTGACGAATGCCCTTTGAATGCCTTTGGTCATACTAAAGAAGATTTGAAGCAAAACGTTACCAATTTTCTTCAGTCCCTGAAAGAAGACCCTATACCGGCCTACATCAACAGCACTGCCTTTGGGCTGATAGATTACAGCACGATGTGGCTCCGTGGCATTTTCCCTGCCTTGTATAGACCTGCTTCTTGGTATGAGCTTGCTGACATCATATCACAACTCATGAATGGGAACGCAACGGCTGCGCTGCTTGCTTTCGGCCTGGATAAAAACAGCTCGATGGTCATGGAGCATGGAATGATTATCCACAGCAACGACGGCGCTGCCGGAAAATCACACTGGCCAGAGAAAAAGAACGAGCTATTGGAAATGCTGCAGCCTGTGTGGAATTCATCATCATTTGCTGTTACACAAATGGAAGAATTTTTTACCAAAGCACAGTGGCTCATCTCAAAGGAACACTCATTCGCACCGCGCCGAGATGTTGAGACCTTATACCCGCTACTCATCCTTTCCACTACGTATGATCCGATTTGTCCGCTTCACTCTGCAAAGGTAGCAAGAGAATCATTCGTGGGCTCACGCCTAATCGAAATCGAGGGATACGGGCATTGCTCTTCCGCGATGCCGTCCTCGTGCCTAGTGCCACACCTGCGTGCGTTCCTTAACAATGGCACTTTGCCAGAAAGAGATGTGAAGTGCGGCGTTGACGGACCATATTTTATTACCCCAAATCAGAAGGAAGAAATTCTGGCTGGCCGATCGGAATCCGAATATGGTGATCTTCGTGCCGCTCAGTATGAGCTCGCAAGTCCGGGAGAATGGGCAAACTGGTTGTAAATAGTTAAAATAGTATGTGTGCTAACCCATAGAGACACATTCTTCCATTCACAAAGTTTTAATATCCTAAGCGAGTTTTGTAAAGGATAGAGTGTAGGAATAAATTGACATACGTCATTTCTACGACGCGGCGAGCAAAATAGCTGTAAATACAAGTATCAGATTAAGACGTTGTTCTATTGGTATAATGACCTCAACTAATTTATTGTCCAATTCTTTATTCACCGCCATGTTAATTAACTCCGTCCGTATAGACCACCAAGATGCTACACACAAGGAAGCGTTTGCTGACATAATTTTCAATAGTTTGTTCGCCGATACCATCTTATCTCCGCAAAGCCAGGAAATATAGACAGGGTGGAACTGGCGTAGCTTCTCTAATTGGATAGATCAACAAAGCAAGTTGCTCATGCATGTTAATGCCGTGAATGGCACGGTAACCTTCAAAGAAAAGATCAATAATACGGGATTAAACGGACATAATTGTTTCATTGAGGGTCATTTTCTGTCTATGTAGATGGGTGATGTGATTGTTAATTTGTTAGCGGAGCACCCCGATACGATACTAGCACAGGTGCCCCGGAGTCCCTATATATAAGAAGTCATGATCATGGCAAAGTGTTCCAAGTTTAACTCTATCTCATCTTCAAAAATAAAAGCTACCGAGTACTTGAGATTAACAATGTCTTTATTGCAACTACCGCTTGCCGGCAAGACGGCTCTTGTGACTGGCGGTATCAGGGGAATTGGACGTGGCATTTCCCTGGAACTTGCTCGCCGAGGTGCCAGCGTTGCCATGGTATATGCTAACCCGAGCCGTGCTGAGACCGCAAAGGAAGCAGTGAAAGAAGTCCTTTCCCTTAATTCTGGCGCAAAGGCAGTCAGCATTTTGGCAGACCTGAAGATATCCAGCAACTATCAAAAAATCATCGACGAAGCTCTGCGAGAGTTGGATGTTGAAAACATTGACATTGTTGGTACGTTGATCATCCAAAAGCTGTGGATTTGCGTGTCATGTTGTTGGGGGTTGACACAACGACAGTTCACAATGCAGCTTATGCCGCACCCATATCAACCGAAACCACGACGGAAGCAATTTACGACGATACGATGGCGACAAACCTGCGAGCTCCGTTTTTCCTTACTCAAAAGCTGCTCCCGTATATACCACGTGGAGGGCGCATTATTCTTATTTCATCTATTGCAGCTAGGCGGTTCTCGTTTGGAATGCACCAAACTGCCTATGCCATTAGCAAGGCAGCTGTCGAGGCGTTGGCTAGAAACTGGGCTGTTGAGGTGAGTGGGATAAATCCTATTAGCTTGTGATATTCTAACTAGAACCTTAGTTTGGCCAAACTCGCGGTATTACTGTTAATGGTAAGTATACTGTCTTTCATCCCCTTTACCTGAAATCTATCGCTCACTCATGCAGCACTATCGGTCGGGTTTGTTGAAACGGAATTGGTGCAAAGCCTCTCCCCTGAAGCTCTGGAAGCGTATCGCAAAGAAAACGCGCGTGTGACTGCAGCTGCCCCTAGGAGCGGCACGCCAGATGATATTGCCCAGATAGTGGCCTTCATTGCTGACGAAGGATCTCGTTGGGTGACTGGAAGTACCATTTCGGCCAATGGCGGGAAGTGGCCAATTTAATCAAGATCATCGCACGTTACATTCTAAACTTCGCAAATCTTCTGCTGCATCGAGTACCTATAGCTAGAATGAATGCTTCATCATATATTTAGGCTGCTTACTGCTTCCAAAACCTGTCAATTAAGGGGAGAAGAAGCCTGGACTCTCCACATTACAATCATATACACCTACGTTTCACAACGAAGGTTTTACCATCATCCGCAGCAAAGCTAACATTAAACGATATTGTCTTTTCCGTATGTAATACGATCTGTCAGGCATCGTACGGGCTTGAAATACCCATATGCTATAATCTCCATGCCCGCTCTCGTAGCCATGTCCCCAGCTCTCTCATGTATGCCTTAGTTTTTACCTCTGCATCCCGGATATCCCCTCGACGAGTATCCATCTCGCTTCAAAACCGGTTATCAAGGCCATGCAAGACATCAGGGACAAGCAGCCACTTGACGCCACCGCCCTGCGATTGCTCTTCAAATGCAAACCGCTCATCGGGGACTCCCTCTCCAAGCCCGCGCAGGAGATTGCCATAATGAACTTGCTCCTGTCCAACAATTCGCCACTGGGTCTCCCTGCTCTCGGGATCTGGCGTTCCGTGGTCAACTCCGCCACCTTCACGCGACAGCCGGCATGCCAAACGCCAGGCTTCGTGCGCAAGAAAGTCGAGTTCAACGGCAACTAACCCTACATGAGCGGGGAGCATCGACACGTCTGCATATCCCGGGCTTAGGAGTGGATTACGCAGGTTCACGCCGTATGTAACGTATCCCCAGCACAAAGCTGGCATGACGGGGCCCAGGCTATTCTTATCACCACGATTTGACGGCTTCAAGGTTGGCTTATATTATCTATTCTCCAGTTTTCTCTCTGTCGGGATTGATAGATCGTGAACACCAGCGGCGCACATAACAGCAGCGGGAGCAAGAGAATGATTGTGTATTAAGGGCAATTGACTGACTGCGAGCGCGAGATTGCCTCCGGAGGCAAATCCAAGGATAGTAACGCAGTTCGCAGGTAATGGTCCTTCATGACTAAGATCTTGGCAGCTGTACTATATGTTTGTTTATTTATTTATTTTATTATCAACGTCCACTAAGTAAACTAGTTACATAAGTCCTTATCTAGGCACTAGGACAGTAGGAGCCACTAAGTTTAAATCAGGCGTTTGCTATATTTTAATATAATAAAGGAAATAAGGGAGTATTAATTTATTTTATATATTTATATCTATATCTATAAGGGGGGGGCTATATAAGCTTATATCCTCTACTAGTTTCTAAAAGTCCTTATATCTTTTATTTCTAAGGAGGTATTAAATATAAGTAATTTTAAAGTACACTTTTCTTTTTAATATATTAAGGAGAAAAAAGGCTATTATATAATACTTTATAAAGTACTTTTATATCTTTAGCTTATTATATTTATAAATAAGCCTAGTATTATATTTAAACCTTTTATAATATTTTATAAAGTTTTTATATTTAAACTTTTTAATTAATAACTTATATAAAATTAAATATAAAAAGTATAACTTTAGGGGTATAAAAGGGGCTTTATAAAAGCTTTACTTATTAATTTTATAAAAATCTAAGTAATTATTATTTTAATTAATATTTTATATTTTTTTATATTTTTTTTTTACTTATTTTTTAATAAAAGTAATAGTAAAATAGTTTTTTAAGTAATAAAAAGACTTTAAACCTTTTTTTATTAATTAATTAGTTTTTTTATTTTTTAATATATTCTTATAGCCTAAAACCTAAGCTACTTTTATAATTATTTATAAAAGTAGTTTTTAAGTAATTTAATATAATTTTATATAAGTTTCTTAAAATAAAATAAAAATTAATTTTAATATTTTATTTATTATTACTAAGTTATTTAAAAAAAGTAAAATCTCTTAAATATTTAAATTTATAAAAATATATATTTTAATTAATTTTATAACTTTAAAAATACTTATTATTTTAGTATTATAAATCTTTATATTAATAAGGGAATTATATATAATAATTTTTTTAAAGTTATAATATATAATTACTCTTTAGCTTATATTACTTTATTTATTTTATAAACTATTTAAGTAAGTAAAAAAAGTAAATTTAAAAAGGTTATTAAGTAATTTTAAGTATTTTTTTATTATTTTTAACTTTAATAAGCTTTTAAAATCTAAGCTTACTTAAATTACTTTATTATTTTTAGTAAAAAGAAAAAGTTAAATTATTTTCTTTACTAAAGCTATAGTATATTATAAATAAGTAAGGGAAACCCTAAGGGGGAGTTTTTTATTAATATATTAGCTAATTAAATAATTCCTATTTAAATTTATAAAATAAACTATTATATAAAATTTAGTTTATATTATTTATATTAATACTAAGGGAATTTTTAATTTTTTATATATAATAAAAAAGTTAATAATTTTCTATATAAGAATAATTACCTTAGCTATTACCTTAAATAAGGGTTTTAAAATTATAGTTAAATTTATTAAACTTATTTTTACTTATTTATTTAAGTTTATTATATTTTATTTATTTTTACTAAGTTAAAAAGCCTTTATCTTATATAAAGCTATAGGGGTAATATAAGCTTTAGTTATTATAGCTATTATATTTAGTAAAAATCCTTTTTATATTTTATTTAAAAATCTTAGGAAGTTAACTATTTTAAGGGCTTTTCCCTTTATAATTTTAAAATACTTTTTAAAAAAAAGCTATAAGTTTAAGTATATTCCTAGCTAATAAATTAAGTCCTAAGGGACTATAGTTTTTCTTTTAAAATTTACTTTTTTATTATATACTTAAGATTTAGTTTTATAAAAATATATAAGTTTATATTATAACCTAGCTTTTATAATTATAATAATAAGTCTATAGGTTAGCTAGTTATAGATAAATATTAAACTAACTAACTAATTAAGAATAAATTATTAAATTATTTAATAATTTATTAATCTAAGGATAAATTATTAAAACTTAAAAATAATTTATAATTAAATTATTAATATTAGTTAATAATTTAACCTAGCTAATTAAGTATATAAATTTACTATATATTACTTATTAAAATACTTAAATAATTAATTATTATTATAGTATTTATAATATAATTAAATTAAAACTTAAATATTTACTTTTATTTATATTACTAATTAATAATAAAATTACTTATTATTAACTTAATTACTTTACTAATATAAATTATAAAATTATTTTAAAGTTTATCCCTTAGGAATAGCTAATTTATAATACCTATAGAAACCTAGTTTATTATATAATAATAACTCTTATTTAAATAATTACCTTAAACCTATAAGTAATAAAATACTTAAAACTTAATAATTAATAAACTTTAGAGTTTTAAATAATAATACTAATTATAAAAGTAAAGCTTAAAGTAATTATAATAATAATAATATTAAAATATAAAATAATTTTAAAAATATTATAAAAAATATTATAATAACTCCTTAATTATTAATTAACTAATAAAAAGTTAATAATTACTTTATAATACTTAAAAAACTTATAAATTAATTATATTAAATAATTACTATATAAGTAAATACTATAGTAATATTATAAAAATAATAATTAGTAATATAATCTATAGGAAACTTAGCCCCTATAGTATAATAATAAAAACTTAAAGAAATTATTAAGTTATTATTATTAAATAAATTTAAAAAAAAACCTTAAATAAATTTAAAAAATTTCTATAAATATAAGAAATTATTTTAGCTACTTTTTAATTACTATAATTAATAATATTATAAAAGTTTAAACTATAGGAATTTATTTAACTAAAATTATTAAAAATTAGTTTAAATTATACCTTAGAGATTTTAAATAAACTAAAAAACCTAAGAAATAGTATATTAATAAATTATTTACTAATTATAATACTTTTAAAAAATAATTTAAAAAGTTATATAAAAAAATTAATAAAGCTAAAAAAGTAAAAAATATATTTTTATAAATTTAATAAATAAAACCTTATATAAAGTATACTATTACTTTTATTTATTTAGCTATTAAAATTAACTTAAATAATAAAGCCTAGTATATATTTTATTATTAAGAATTAAAACTTAATATTAAAAATAAATTATATTAAAATAAATTACTAAATATCCTTAATAAATTTATAAAAAAAGCTACTTATATTAATAAATAAATATTTAAATAATATAAAAAATATAAATAAAAAAAAAACTTTTAAAAAGTTATTTTAAAATACTTTTACTTTAGTAATAATATTAATTAAGGAAAAAAAAGGAATATAGTAATATATAATAATAAAAAACTAAAATTTATAAACCTTAATATTATTAAAGTATAATATAAAAATATTAAATATTATAATTATAATAAAAAAAAATATATAAAAAAGTATTATTAAAAACTTATAAAAAAAGTAAAAAATAAAAAATTTATATTTATTTTAAAGCCTAAGAAAAATTAAGTTATTAATATTATATAACCCTTAGTAAACTATAATAAATTATACTTTTTAATATATTATAATAATTAATACTAAATATATTTTAGTAATAAATAAAAATTAAAATAGTTTTTAAAAAAACCTAAAAAGTTTATATAAACCCTAAATATATTTAAAAAAACTACCTTAGAAAATAATAAAATTTTTTTAAATATAGCCTTATTAATAAGCCTTATATTAATAAACTTTTATAAAAATTTTATATAAAAAAAAATTAAAAAACTTAAGAAATAAATATATAACTAATATAATTTAGTTAAAACTAAAAAACCCTACTACTTTTATAAAATAACTATAGAAAATTAAAAAATATATAAATAATAATATAAAATATAAGTAATTTAAGAAAAAAATTACTATTATAATAAAAAAATATAATAAAAAAAATCTAAAAATTAATAAAAACTCCTTAAATAATAAAAAAAATTTTTATAAATTAACTTAATAATTATTTATAATAAAATCTAATTATTAAAAAATAAATTTTAATAATTTATAAAAAATAATATTATTAAATATTTAATAATAAAAATATTAAAAATTATATTATATTATATTAATAATATTATATTTATAAATTAATATAATTAAGCTAATATTATTAATTATAAAATACTTTTATATAAATAATATATTTTATATAAACTTATAAAATAATATAAAAATTATAATACTTTAGATTATTAATAAAAAGAATTTATATTATATAATAAAGATAATTATATTAAATACTAATACTAATATTATATACTTATATATATTATAAAAAACCTAACTAAATAAGGTTTTAACTTTAAAAAATATATAAAAAGCTATAGTTATAATACTAAAGTATAAAAAATTAACTAAAATAATATTTAAAAATATTATAAGTTTATTAATAAATATATCCTTAAGCTTAAGTATACTTAATATAAATACTATAATATTTAAATTAATAAACTAATTTAAATTACTTTAAAATTAAATAATATTAAAAATAACTTTAATAATAAAAAGTAAAATATAAATATCCTTTAGAATAATAATAATTATTATAATAATATTAATAATATAACTTATTATAATTTAAATACTATTTTAAAAAAAAATTATAAAAATTTTAAATACTTAATATTTTAAAAAAATATTTAATTATAATTTATATAAACTTAGGAGCTATAATAAGCTATATTA